GGCTAGGAGCTAGGAACCCGGAAGTTAATTACTTCCGGGTTCACTGACGAACCGGTTCGCACGAACCGGTGCGAACCGGGAGGAACCCACCCCTGCTCTGCACATACCTATGCTCTTACAGGAGCTTTGTCAGCCTTGTATGTAGCTTTATTCCTCTCTAGCATTCATCTCCATTGTTCGGTGATGCATTTCCTGCCTCTCTAGGGTTTACCTCTATCTGTTCCTGTGAGGTACTTCCTGTTCCTGTTGGATGTATATTGATGGCATATATAGTGCTTTGCAATGATACGAAAATCAGCTGGCCGGCAACACATGCTTGCTGGAGCTCAGCTGGGGCTCACATGCCAGCTGAGAGTCCTCCGTATGCCACCTGTGGCACGTGTGCCATTGGTTCGCCATCATGGATATAAAGAATCTCTCACATTGCTAAAACCTATAACAATTCCTACTCAAGTGTAGAAGAAAGATCTTTCTTTAGAACCCTCTGGGAAATTTTCAGGAAGGCCTTTGTTCAAATCTCTAGCTGTAGAGTATTGCATAATCTAGAGGCATATACCGAGAAGCAGCATGCTTATGCTTCTCCATACTGACTTCATTCAAGGATGTCACTCTTAAAGTCATTCTGGATCAATGCCCATTCTATTTCATGCAGAATAGGCATTCCTTCAGAAATGTAGATGCCAAGTCATAAGAAGCTTTTTTGAATTGTACTTGAAAGCCAATGCACTGTTTGTAAAACAGGTGCTACTATATGTGGTATACGCAGGTCTCACCCAATGTGAATTGCTACATTTTATGCCACCTGCATAATGCAGTTCCATGTTACCTTCCAGATTTTCAAAGTTCTTATTTAGTAGCTTGCAGAATAGTTCAATATGTTTCTATTTGCTGATTTCAGTCAACTCTTGAGAAATTATCCCGGTCCTTGGAAGATCAGCTGAGTGAAATTAAAGCAAAGGCAGAAGAGCAGCAGCGTTCAATTAATGACCTTTCTGCCCAGAAAGCTCGCTTGCAGACAGAAGCAGGTAAGAAGAAATGCTGAAGTATTTTAGGAATGGTTTATTCTACACTAATAGTATTTGAGTTTGCGGGTAAAGTAAGCTCAGAAGAGCCAAAAAGAGCCATTCTGTTTGTTACCCTGTATTTTATTATTATGGACGTTATTACTTATTAGCAGTAGTAGTAATATATTTTAACTAAGGTGACCAGACGTCCCGCTTTTGGCGGGACACCCCTGCTTTCCAATGCATTTTCCCGCACGCTTTTTTAAAAAGCACGCTTTTTTTGGCGCTCGCAGCTCCCGCCCATCAGCTGCTAGCTTGCTGGGCTGGCTCATCTGGTAGGATAGAGAACAGAACGAAGAGGCAGCCCAGCAAG